TTTTTTTTCTGAAGCTCAAGGACTTATTTGCACTGCCTTTTAGGTTCCTCAAGATCCACTTCACAGCTTCCCAATGATCCTTCCCAGGATTGGAAAAATACCTGCTAACAACTCCAACCGCGTGAGCGATATCCGAAGAGTATGGAACACTCGCCATAGCTTCTTTTTCTTCTTGACTCGTAGGAGAACTTCGTTTACTGAGTTTGAAGTGATTGGCTAACGGTGTATTGACCGGCTTAGCCGATTTCATGTTGAATTTCTCCAGAATTCGATTCACATACCGTTCTTGTGATAACCATAATCTCTTGGATTTTCGGTCTCGCATGATTTGCATGCCCAAAATTTGTTTCGCAGGGCCCAGATCCTTCATTTCAAAGGACTTTGCTAATTCCTTCTTCAAATCACCAATCAGCTTCATATCTTGTCTCACTATCAACATATCATCTACATATAACAAAAGGATAATGATCTTATCACCTGGAAATTTCTTAACGAACACACAATGATCTACATCAGTCTTGGTATATCCATGGCTCGCCATGAACGAGTCAAATTTCTTATACCACTGTCTAGGAGCTTGTTTCAGTCCATACAAGCTCTTCTTCAATCTGCAAACCATGTGCTCCTTTCTAGTCTTCTCAAATCCTTCTGGTTGCTCCATGTATATTTCTTCGTCTAGATCTCAATGAAGAAATGGAGTCTTCACATCTAGTTGTTCAAGCTTCAGATCCAAGCTAGCCACCAATCCGAGTACTACTCGAATAGAGCTCATCTTCACAACCGGAGAGAATATCTCATCAAAGTCTATTCCTCGCTTTTGTCCAAATCCTTTCACGACTAAGCGAGCCTTGTACTTCAACAGTTTGTCACCATCTTTCTTAAGCTTGAACACCCATTTGTTTTTCAAGGCTTTTCTGCCTTCCGGAAGCTTCACAAGCTCATAAGTTTCATTTTTCACTAGTGAATCCATTTCTTCTTGCATAGCTTTCATCCACTGGGATTTATCCTTATGAGTCTGTACTTCTTCAAAGCTTTTTGGCTCCCCTTCTTTAGTGATGGTAATATACGTGGAACTAGGGTATCTCGTAGATGGTTGGATCGCTCGGTTTGATCTCCTGAGCTGAGGTGGAGCTTCGAGGTCTTCCTGCTCAACACCTTTACCATCACCATCTTCTATTGCTGGCTCATCATCAACCCTGAGTTCTCCATCACACTCTCCTCCTGCTGTGGCATCTCTAGGAGGTTTGACAGGTGAAAGATCCACCTTTCCACTTGGTTCTCTGATTTCTGGTGAAGCAGAATCAGACATAGTTTCTTGCTCATGGAACACTACATCTCTGCTTCTGATAATTTTTCGATTTTCTGGATCCCATAACCTGTAGCCAAATTTCTCATCTCCATAGCCCAGAAATATACAAGAAATGGCTTTATCATCAAGTTTTCGTCTCTGTTCCTTGCTTACGTGAGCAAAAGCTTTGCATCCAAACACCTTTAAATGAAAGTATTTAACATCATGTCCGGACCATACTCTCTCAGGGATATCAAAGCCCAAAGGAACATATGGAGATCGGTTGATCAGGTAGCACGCTGTTAGAACAGCTTCACCCCAGAATTGCTTAGGTAGTTTAGCCATTCTTAACATACACCTCACTTTCTCCATAATGGTTATGTTGATTCTTTCAGCCACACCATTATGTTGTGGGGTTCCAGGTACAGTCTTCTCATGCCTGATGCCATGCTCGGCATAATAATTCTTGAATTCATGGGAAGTATACTCCCCCACATTGTCTGAGCGAAGACACTTCAAAGGTTTACCAGCCTGTCTCTCCACCATAGCATGAAACCTTTTGAAGTATTGAAAAACTTCACCCTTCGTTCTCAAGAAATACACCCACAATTTTCGTGAAGCATCATCGATAAATGTCACAAAATATCTGCTACCATCGAGACTCTCCACTTCCATGGGTCCACATACATCAAAATACACCATCTCAAACACATTCTCTTTCAGCTTCGAGGTTTTGCTGAAAGACACTCTATGCTGCTTCCCAAAGAGACAATAATCACAAGGATTCAGTTTTGAATCTTTGGCAAATGGGATGAGGGACTTTCTTGTCTTCACCAATATGAGCCAGTCTTTTGTGCCACAAATTTGGCGAAGCATCATCTTCGACTGCATTCAATCCACCCTTGATCAGCTTCACTTGAGTTCTGTACAGTGTCGATCTCACTGTACCTCTAGCAACTAACAACGATCCTTTGGTAAGCCTCCACGTGTCATTACCAAAATTGTTAGTATACTCTGCTAGATCCAATGCATGTACAGAAGTCAGATTCATACGTAAGTCTGGTATATGTCGTACGTCCTTTAGTGTTATTGTGCACCCAATATCAGTTTGTAATGCACACATCACCAACTCCCACAATATTTGCAATGCTGTTGTTGCCTATCTTTACTCTACCAAAGTCTCTTTCTTTGTATAGAGAAAAGAATTCATTGTGAGAGGTTGCATGGTATGATGTTGCTGAGTCAATGACCCATTCAACACATGAATTTGCAACGTGACACTCTTCTTCTTCAACAGAGAGCAACACCACTTCCCCATTGATCACAAAGGTTGCGGTATTTTCACCGTTCTCTGATTTGTTGTTCCTCCAACCTCTGTTGTTCCAGGCTTTGCAGTTTCTTTTGATATGCCCTTCTTCACCGCAGTGATAACACTTGAATTTTCTCCTGGGTTGAGATTGTGATTATCTTTGGATTTGTTATCCCAGCCTCTGCTTTTACTTCTCCCCTAGTTTCTGTGACTAGGGCTTGGGAGCTGATTGCCCCAGAGTCTTTTCTTCTTGTTTCTTCATTAAACATACTGTCTTTGACTAGGGTCAAAGTCAGTTTTTCCTCAGGAGCAAAGTTGCTCAACGAGACCACCAGAGTCTCCCAGCTATCCGGTAAAGAACTCAAAAGTAACAGCGCCTGCAGCTCTTCATCAAGTTTCATTTCCATGGTAACAAGTTGGTTTACCATGTCTTGAAACTCATTTAGGTGCTCAGCAACTGATCTTCCATCCCGGTATTTTAGATTTACAAGCTTTCTAATGACGAAAACTTTATTCTGTGCAGTCTTCCTCTGGTACATCTGTTCAATTTTGTTCCACAGAGTATGGGCTTTCGACTCTGTGGCAACATGGTGGAATATGCTGATATCCACACACTGTCGGATTAAACTGACAGCCTTTCTGTGTAACTTTTTCCAATCGTCATCCTTCACATCATCTGGCTTGTTGTCTCCCTTTTTTACAGGATCATATAGATCTTTGTAGAAAAGTATGTCCTCTATTTTTGGCTTCCAAATGGAGTAATTTGTTGTTGTGAGCTTCACCATGGTACCCACGTACTCCTCTATTTAATTTACACTGGCCGATACAGAGCCCAACTTGAGCTCTGATATCACTTGTTGGGCTCAGATGCGCAAATGCGGAAGATGTAAATTAAAATATCAAGGTAAAATGGTGAACAATAATCTCAATCCTAGCAACTCAAGAATGACAAAAGAAAATCTCTTGCAATAAAACAGGAATAATTCTTTTCTGATGTGGAAGATCAGATTAAACTGCGACCACAGAGCATACTAAGAATATCTCAAATAAATAAAATATGCAAGAAATAAGACACAAAGATTTAACGTGGAAAAAACCTCCAAATAGAGGAAAAAACCACGGGACAACCTCCGAACAATTCCACTATATTTTCAAGATAATTACAATATCTTTTCACACTCCCTTACACTAGAAATGTAAAATATAGTGACCCAGTGAGACCTCACTCCTAAACAAGGAATAATAGAGTTGATACCCAACCCGGTGTATTTTTTCCACACTCACAGGATTTACTCAAACACTCTATTTTTATCTCACTGAAAAATAACACACAAATATTATTTCTGCTCTCTCTCTCTTGTTCTCTCTTTTTTCTTCTTCCTTAGTGCGTCTTCAATCTACTAAATGCCTCCCTATTTATAGGTGAGAAAGTACCATGTGAACAGATGCAAAAATAATTGCTCTAGCTTTTTCTTTGCTCTTTCAGATCAATAATTATGTGCAGCACCGAAATTTGATTCCTTTTCTTTTGTTTTCTTGTGGCTTTTGCTCAACTACTACATATTTTTATTTCTTTGTTTTGTTTGTTTGTGGCAGCCAGGCTGGATATAACAACTAACGCATGCCACTGTCTAAAGAGCATTTTAGTCATTTTTCTACAATTACCGATTTGCAACTCCATTTTCTTCTAAAAACAACCATTGCTAAGCTTAAAACACCACAATCCGCTAAAGGTTGTTCCCAGTCCCTTCAACAACCAGCATAGCAGTTCAACTATTTTACCAGGACCTTGATCTCACGCAGGCATTAGCTTCTACACAAACCATGCTCGATGCCTGTAGCATCATCTTCGGAAATTAGAGTTCGTTGCGCAACAGACTCGCATGCTCTCATCTTCATCAACATTAGATTAGGATTCCTTTCCCCCATTGATGTGCTCCACAACATTGACATACGTGGGGACGAATGGAACATACGGTGAGAAATAATGCGTTCGCATTTAAAGGTTTGGTTGTCACTTGTCAGTGAGTGGACTTCGCTAGAACCTACTAATTACGGGTCATACAAGGTTAGCAACCAGTACATGGAGGATGCAAAAATCCAAGAGGAGGGATCTAAGATGGCAATGAGTCTTAGGACAAGTTAAGAGCGGTCGGTTAGGTTGATTTGGTTTTGACTTCGTATACTAGACGTATATATTTTTGAACATTTTAATGATGGTTTTGTGTTCATTCATTTAACAAACTTTACACAAAGTCCTTAATAAAAAGTCCGCCAACAACATTAAAGTTGTACAAAGTTTTGTGTCTTAACCCTATTACACAATAATATATATACAGTAATACAGACAAGTTAGGTATTGTTTGGTTGGGGTAAAAGGAGGGGAGGGGGGAGGGGAGGGTTTTTTTTTTTT